AAGCAGTTTTTTCAAACCAGTGTCAAGTGTGAATAATGAAGGTCTGCCTTAATATGTATGTACCTAATATATGTTACAATGTATGTACGTATCTACTATTTTTTATATATAATAATACCTATATGGTTTAATAAAATATGCAATAAAATTTTTAAAAAATTTACGATTTTTGGTTATTTTGTTTAATCCGGACTTTCATTAATTTGGACAACCTAGAGCTCCAATTAGTCCGGATTACTGAGGTTGAAACGGTACTTACTATGAAATAGTATAGCCGTTTACCATGAATATGAATACATCTGTTTTATATATATATAATTAGTGCTTTATTTCTATTTAATTTTATGTATTACAATGTTCGGGGATGGGAAATGTTGTTTTCCCGTTAATATTTATATAATATGAAAGGAGTTTTGCTATTTGTACAAAATAGTGGATGGAGCAGATAATTGTATTAGGCCCTCTCAAATAAGTGGCGTCTAATCACAATCTCTGTTCGGGTCGAGCGAGAGGAGCGTTTAAACTTTAAATACAGGAATGCACCGCTTTAGTAGATACACCGCTCATGGTGCGCATGCGCAATATGGTATCGTCCGCATAACATAGATATTAGATAACAAGTTGATTATTGATTATCAGTGATTTAAGCGGCAAACTAAAATTTTGAATAAATACGATATTATGGTGTGGTATTCAAAACGTACCAATTCTTACCCAAACAGGTTTTAGCTATCTTTATGATGCTATTTTATTTAAGGTCACTGGTAAAACAAATTTTACCTGACACAGTAACACGCTTATGACATAGGAATTTAGAGTATTTAGACATGTTCTATTTCCAACATAATGATTGAAGTAAGATAATAAAAACGTAATAGGTGGGAATTTCTGAATATGATATACTAAAATTCCATTTATATTAGCTAGTTTAAAACTTTTTTGTACTTTACGATATATTATTTCTCTTTACAAATGGATTTTGTTTGTGATATTTGTAATAAAACCTTTACAACAAAATACTCACTAGAGAGACATAAAAAAATGTCCACAAGGAAGAAAATATTATTTTTGAAAAATCATATTTTCAAAATGTAATAGCTGCAATAATCTTAGTTTTAAAAAGAAAACTCTATTGATTGATCATTTAAATTCTGAGCATGGCATGTCGATCAATAAGGTGATTTTACAATTTAATAATTTAACAGGTATTTTTTAAGTTTTATCACTACAATAATATTTGTTTAAGTCACACTTTTATTCATATTCCGAAGTAATAATCATTTCAAATATTAAAAGTAACTAATGAATTTTAGATTCTGAGTTGAGCGATAAATGTATTGATTTTACAGTTTTTTTTTTTAATACAGTAAAAATGCTTTGATTTTTTTCATCATATTTTCTGATAGGTAAGTGAATCTAGTTCGTACTTTTGGGTGGTAAAAAGCAGTTAAAACTCAGTTAAAACTTAAAATATACCAAATTCGCAATTTGCAATATTAATAATTTATGTTCAATAGGTATAATATCACATTATCAGTTATCACTGAGTTATCAGTTACTATAGTTATGCGGACGATACCATATTGCGCATGCGCACCATGAGCGGTGCATTCCTGTATTTAAACGCTCCTCGAGCGAGGCCTAGGCAGGCGCGCTTGGGGGGACTTGTTTTATCAGTGCTGTCCTGAAAAGAAAAATTTATTTCACAATCTGATACGTATTCTAGTCGTTTACCCAAATGGTAAACTCTCGCATCTGGTTGGTTATTATTCTCTGTGTCTTGTAAGGTCCTCGTTGCTGGCCGTTTCGCCTGGCCAAATATCTATGTCGCACGAAACTCTTGATGGCGCATCGAGTATCCGCGTCGAAGTTCCGGTTTAAGCCTTTCTCCGACGTCGGATATAACGAGAGGTTACCACTTAGATGATTCCGTGTACAAAGATATACAGGCCGATGTTAACCGACGGTGTTATGGAATTGCCGCTTGACCGTACGATCGATTTGTGGTGGTTTTCTATGAGAGTTGCACACAGGATGGTACCGGTCGTTGTTCGCTGGTTGATTCAGTCTTCGTTGTAGTTTGGTCGAAGCTTGAAGAAGAAATGAGAGTGTACTGATTTTTTTATGCCGAATCTTACTAGTATAAGTACTACTATCCGTACCAACTAGTAAACCCATCCACTATCCAGGTGCATTCTCTCGTGATGGATTTGATGATATCTCTGAAGTTTTTGGGGTTACAACCATAGGGAAGGTATTTTTGTCTTCGTCTTTACTTCCCCTATCCGTTGATATACTTTTGATGTTTATATGATGTACGGAAGTACTTGTAATTCCTTTCTAAGTCCAAAATGTGGTGTTTTACTCTCGTTCTGTCCTGTGATTGGTTGTACTCGTCCTACGTTGCGATTGGCTGTCGTAAATAATAGTTGTTGTCTCTGTTAAGAGCCTTTTTCGTAATAATTATATTTATGTTCCGTTACAAGGTTCTACTGTAATGAAGTCAAAATTAAAAAAGCGGATAAGTTTGTGTTTGAGCTGTACGATAATTATAAGGTTGAAATAAAAAATTAAGGGGATAATGTCTTGGCATCGATGGATATAATATATGGAATGTGGATATTCATCAACATAATCATTTCTGAGTTCAATTTTTTACTATTGTTCTAGATATTTAGCAACTTGATATTTTGAATTTTCATTTAGTAAATACAATAATAAATTAATAAAATATTTATTCTTTTTTTACAAATCACAAAATATTTTTTGTTGAAATTGTAAAAACAATTATCATTATTTAAAAATAATAACTAATACAGTTAATAATAATTTAACTCTTATAAAAATAACATGTGACGTTTAGTGAGTGGGCTTGCGAGGGAGCCGAACCATTTTTATTTTTGGCTAAAGACCCTTTATGGCCACCCCTTAGCGCCATGCCTGTACTTTCATTCCCGAGTAGCAATAACTGTGTTATGATTGTGTCAAATCTTCAATAAATCAATTGTGTAGAACACAGTGTAGTTACTGTCTCCGCACTGTGTTTTAAGTCATTTTGAATACCGACTTTTTACATGGGTAGCACCGTGCACTCAGAGTGCAATTGTCAGTTCAAACACTGTGTTATGGTACAATATTTTAACGGGGGTTTTATTGTGTATTTGCCCATCATACAACGGTGTTATGGTCTGTTAAAGTACCGTGCAACTGTGTTAATATTTCACAGTGTACTTATTGGGCATTTGTCGGTTGCAACACCATGTACTGTATGTATGTATGTCTGGTTCAACACCATGCAACAGTGTAATTAACTAGATATACCCAGGCCCGTATTTAGAAAATATGCGCCTCGGGGCACTTGTGAAATTCCTCCTCTCTTTTTGCCGGTGTGGAGGGGGATGCCTAGTGTTAAAAATAAAAATTATAAATACTAATATAAAATTATAAAATATTACCTGTATATTAAATAAAGGAACAAATTCACTTTAGTTACCTGGCATGAAATCTCCACCAAATCACAATATATATAACTATATAAGGTAAAACCATTTTACATAGTTTTAAAGTTATAACTATGTAGGCTTAATACATAAAAAAGTTCATGAAAATTTACCGCCCCCCTCAAGTTCCACCGGGAGAGGTAATGACCCACCATGGCCCTCCCCTAAATACGGGCCAGGCTATATACCAGCTTATATTTATAAGAGGATACTACTCAAGCATTTATTGCCTCCGTTTTACCAGTTACTAACGTAGGTACGACACCAAATTTTTGTTCACTAGTTTCACTAGTGTGCTGGTCTTTAGATTGGAGTGAATTGACCTATTATCAAAATTTTATGTAAGAAGCTCAAGCGTTGACAAACTTTTGATATTTTCATTTGCAAGCGAGATACAAGTATGTGAAATACTGAAATATCACCAATTAAAAATGCCCAAATCTTGCTTGAAAATTAAAATATTGAATAAAAGCCGACTCTTGAACACAGATAATGTTCTTACCTACCTAAAGGTTTGATAATATATGTCAATTCACTCTAATATCCAAACAAACGGCACCAATTATAATCTAAATAGTAATTATAGAGGATAAGTATTAAAATATAACATAAATAACAAAATTTATTATTTTAACTATTATTGTATTATTTATTACAATAATATATAATAACATTATTACTTTAATATTTAATATTAAATAAAAAATGTAATCTTCTCACAACAGTATAGGAACTGAATACAAATATAAAATTGAAAAATAAAACTGTTAATAGTTAGGTTATAATAGTTATAACAAAAAAATGTAAAATAATTATATTTTTCTTCCTTCTCTACCACTGAAGTAATAAGTAGGCGCATGTCTTATGTAGTTATCAGCAATATAATGAAATTTAGTTTCATCTTCAGGACTTCGGCGAAAACTAGAGTTGCTTAAGTTACCTTTAATGCCGGGTCCACACAGAGACGATACAGAAACAAAACAAAAACGAAACACAAACCCTTCTTTTTGAAGTTTGAAAAAAATAAAACACAAACAAAACATGTGTCCATACTGAGTTGAGTAAAAATTAAACAAAACATGAACAAAATTCAAATATTTGTTTGTGTTTTGTTTTTGTTTTCAACTATCCATACAGAAATATAAACTCATCGTTTTATTTCGTTCATTCGTGGTTATTCAGTCTGTCTTCAGAGTTCAAGCCGTCTAAACTCCTCGTAGGTACTTATAAGTTTTTTAATTTTTTTACTGTGAGTGAAAAATACTGTGGAAATTGAAAAGAGATATTGAAGACGATGAAGATTTACTAATGTTGGTTGCTGGGTATATTTACCTACAGTTACAAAGAAAAAAAAATAATACGATTAAAAGACGTTTTTGGGTAAGACCAACTTTATAAAAAAGAAATTTGTTTGGTGTCAATGAACTTCTAAAGAATTTACAAGATGATGATATTGGTTTGAATGGAGAATTGCGATCTAGCTTTAAAAACTTTTTGAGGATGTCAACTGAAGATTTCGAAAACCTAATATGTCTCATCGGTCCAGCAGTCCACAAACAAAATACTATTTGGAGAACTGCTATTAGTGTGACTGAGCGTTTAGCTTTGACTTTAAGGTTCTTGGCAACGGAAGACTCTTACCATAGCACGATGTATCAATTTAAAATATCTACTCAGGCAATATCACTTATAGTTCCGGAAGTTTGTGAAGCAATAGTCAATGCTCTTTCGGAGTATATTAAGGTAAGCACATACATAAATAAATTATTTAAATAAATCTATTATATGTGTTTTTTTTTTACAAATAAATATCTGTATTTGTTGTAATTTAAGTAGGTATGTACTGAAAAATATTTAATATGAGAATAATAATAAATTAACTTAAAAAGAGTCAAATTATTTTCAAAATTGTATGGTGTATAGAAAATACTAATATAAACATTCAGTGAAATTTTCAAGTATTTACAGTCATTCGTTTTTTAATTACAACAAAATAAGAAAATCGAGTGAATATCAAATGTTGTAAAAATATGAATTTCAAACGCTTATAAAAATTTAATTTGAGTTTCTTGTAGACATTTTTTTTTTTTTTTATGAAGGTAGACAAACTTATGAAAAATCTTGTACTATATTTTCAAATCTTAGATTTAAAAAGAAAATTTTTTATGAATTTCTGCTCGAAATAATTTGCAAATATTCGTCATTTTTACGTATTTTGTCAATATTTGAACATTAAATGCTTATAACTTACTCACATAAAAACTGTGAGTATGGATTTTTAATTTTTTTCATCTGCCTTTGAAACAATATACTAGGAGACTTATATTAAATTTTCAAGCTTTTTTAATAAACAAATAAAATTTAATTGATATTTATAGAAAAAAAAAACTGAAGAAAATGGAAACTGAAAATTTCGGCAAAGAGCTCAAAATAAGTTGTAATGGGATTACGTAATATCATGTATTTGCTCATAAAAACAACCAGGAATGCGACCACACCCAAAAGTGTTTACGACTATAGAATACCACTTTTAGTCGTGAGGTCAAATGTATCATGGATAATCAAGATAAATCAAGGACGACTGTGCACGCGCCGCTCACTTCAAAGGACGCCGCCATCATATATATAGGGGACAGCGAGACAGCCTGAGTAGATGTATCCAGAGACGAGAACCACACACGACTCGCTTAGCCGCCAAGCCATCAAACATAATTACACGGAGATTATCAATTCTGGAACGAGCTACAATTAACTACAATCAACACGACTGTTCTGCTTATTTTGTCTGGTTTAATAAAATACATTTGATTACTATACTAATTTGACTATTATTATTTATCAAAGTACATCAGCTTTTGGATCCCTGAAGGGCTGGATGTAACAAAGTCAAAATATTTGGAAAATATTATGGTTTATAGAAAATGCTAATATAAACATTCAGTCGAAATTCCGTGTACCTACGGTAATTTGTTTAAGAGTTACACCAAAAACCAAAATCGATTTTCTTCGAAAACAGATTTTGTGTAAAAATTCCCGTTTTTCCTTAATTTTCTTTTGTTTTTCACGGCACTTTTGAAAACTACTGGGACATTTTTACTTTTGACCCCCCAAAGTACCAATTAGATTGACTTTCCTATCAGAAAAGATTTAAGCATTTTTACTGTTCTAAAACGTGATGACAGACACAAAAAAATTAAAAAATTAAAAAATTAAAAAAATACAAAAAAAAACACACGTTATTATAAAATCAATACATTCATAGTTACACTCAGAATCTAAAATTCAACTTTTATTGCTATGAATTGAAAATTTTAAACCAGGTTTCACGTAAGTAGTTAATTCTATAACCAAAAAATCTCAAAAAATATAAAAATACTGCTTTTTATAATTATTTTATGTTCAATTTTGGACGAAATTAGATATAAATTTCCAAGAATGACGATTTTAGTTATTTCGTTGTAATTTTATAATATCAATTCAACTTACCGGCTACCACAATTAATAATAAGTAATAACAATATAAATATATTATACAATATCCCGACTGACAAACCGTCACTCCTCAGAATCATTTTTCGTATACAATGATATTAGATTATCATTGAATTCAAACGTAATACCATCCATTATACAGAGACCCACTTTTAATCTACTGTACAGTGTAAGTACAGCAGAGCGACATCCACTTACCTGCTTTTTTAATTTCACTTTTCTTTAAGTATACTTTTTACTAGTCGTAAATAAAATAAAATAAGTAACTATACAATTGTGGATAACTAAATAGATTTTTATTAAAAAAAATTGAAAAAAAATAATAATACTTTTATAATGATATTCAAATAAAATAAAACTAAATCAAAAAATCGAAAATAAAAATTAGAAACTTTTACAAAATATAAAACAAAACATATCAAAATGAATAATATTTTTTTGTTTCTATATCATTTATTTAAATGGATTTCCTTTTCCATTCCCCATAGTTCTACTTCTACAGTTGAATCGGTCACATTTTGGACACTTGGAGGATTAGAGCAGGGAATTGTTGACTCAGATGAAGATTCATCGTGATAGTAGTTTCCGTTAGCCGCATATGTCACAGTCTGAATACTAGAGGTCGAAGCTGCAGCAGATCCACCGATATAGTTGTTGTAGTTTGTAGGAACTTCGAATGTTCGTGGCGGAAAATCATACTTTCCCAACTCGCCGTCGTATAAAAGATTATTAATTAAATGTTGAATTGTACATTGTGCATAATGCGTACGAAGGCCGCGTACTTTGCGTGCCACTACATCACCAAACGCGTCAAAATCATCAATTTGGGCTGCGTTCTGTGCGACTTTCATTTATGGATTTCATCATTTCGAAAACCTCTTGAGTTCTATCTTCATTTCCATCAAATTTTGATGATCCAGGCGTCCGTTTTTTTTGCGATACTTTCAAATTTTTAGAGGTTGTCATTTAAGATAATTCTACAGAGTTCGAAACATTACTTTCGGCACTTTGTACATCGTTTATAGTATTTTCATTTATTTCATGTTCCTTAAAAACATGCTCATCAACTGCCACAGATTTTGTGCTACAAATTTCAATATTATCCTCACATTCTTCGTCACTTGAACTGTCACTTATCTACATAAAAATATTAAATTTAATTTCTATTTGAGATTCATGATATTGTAAACAGGGCTTGAAATTGAAAAAAAATATGTTTTGATTTTAATTTTAATTTTGATTATCGATATTAGTTTTTTTTTTATTTCGATTTTGGTTTCAAATATCGGTATTTGTTTTTTTCAATTTAGTTTTTGGTTACGAATATCGATATTCATATTTTTCAATTTCGATTTTAGGTATTGGTATTTATTTTTTTTCGATTTCGGGTTCACAACAGAATGTTATCCATGACTTATAATAATTTCCCAAATTTTAGTACATCATCAGCATAATAGTATTCTAGCCACAAGCTACTGATGTAGGTATCGTATAGATTTAAATTAGTTTTTTTATTACCTATGTTATAAAACATTTCGTACAAACTACAATTATTATATTATGAGTGTCTCAAAAAATCAAATATGGCAATGTCTGTGGATTGACAATATAAATATACCCGTTGGCTGTTGAATTTTAAATGTATTAAATTAAATTAATTTGATTTAAAATCGTTTTGATTATGATAATGATTACGATTTTGATATAAATTATCGATTTTAACTTTTTTCAATTTCAATATAAATTTTGAAAATCATTAGCAACCATTAACGATTTTGATATTGATTTTGATTTTCTAAAAGATTTTTAATGATTTTTATCGATGTTTGAAATCGATTTCAAGCCCGGATTGTAAATATATATTTATGCAGCAATAGCATAAAACCACGAACTCGCTCTTCTGTACTATACAGTAGATACGTGTCGAGTGGAACTATGTCATATGGTATCTATAGGTCACTATAATGTATGTGCTGTGTTGGAAAGTACTTGCATTACTAGTAAAAGTATTTGAGTAAAAGTATTCAAATACAGAAGGTGTTTGAGGTATTTAAGTATCTGGATTTAAAATCAAATACTAATTTTAAATAAATTTTCTTTTTACTTCATAATTTTAGATTCGGAACGGAGTTTTAAAAAGAGTCAGGAAAAACCCAAAAAAGTAATGAAAACCAAATCGATTTTTTTTAATTTTTTTTTTTATAATCGTTTGAAATTATAAATTATTTACAATACCCAATAGGTATTTATAAAACTCGTACAATTTACAGTATTTACAATATAAACTTAATTACTAGTAATGTAAATGTAATATAATTAATATAATATCCTAGGCTGATAAATCATCTCCGTTCAGAATCGTTTTTGAAATCGAATTAAGTGAAAAAAAAAAATAAAAGTGACTTACTCTGCAATGACGACACCTACTGTATAGTGGAGCGAGTTCACGGTTTTTGTAGGTTTCTGAACTTATAGCCATGGTATTATTTTAAACTTTCAGATACCATCAAATGAAGACGAGTGGAAAAAAGTTGCTTGTGACTATGATAAAATATGGAATTTTCCCCATTGCGTGGGTTCAATGGATGGGAAACATGTTGTAATTGAATCACCAATTAATAGTAGCAGCGAATTTTATAATTACAAATGAACATTTAGTATTGTTCTATTCGGTGTAGTTGATGCGAATTATAATTTTATTTACTCTAGTATTGGGTGTATATATACATATATATCGGATGGTGGCGTATTTAAAAGTAGTAGCTTTCAAAAACTTATGGCAAATTGTTCGTTAAATCTACCAGAGAAGAGTGTACTACCAGGTCGAAATAAATTAAGCCCTTATGTTTTCGTAGCTGATGATGCTTTCCCGCTTTCTCCATGTGTATTGAAGCCTTATAGTGGACATCAGGATAAGGGTTCTACAAATCGAATATTTAACTACCGCTTTAGTCGCGCCAGAAGAGTCGTGGAAAATGTATTTGGCATAATGGATTCAATTTTTCGAGTGTTTCGCAAACCTATGTTGTTTCAACCAGAAAAAGTAGTATTAGCTTGTGTTCACCTACACAATTATTTACGTAGAAGCTCGTCATCAAAAAATACATATACTCCACCAGGATCATTTGATGCAGAACAATTAGATACTGGCACAATAGAAAGAGGAACCTGGAGAAAAGATCAACAAAGTTCTCGATCATTTTTATCAATTTCTCAAGTAGCTCGAAAATCATCAATTGAAGCTGCAGAAGTTAGAGATGAGTTCAGTGAATATTTCATTTCAGAACAAGGTCAATACCATGGCAATTAAACTATTCTTAACTAAAATAAATTCATAATACTAAACTGCGCATTGTATAATACATAATATAAATGTAGGTATATTTTAATATTTATGGTTTTTATGTTAGTGAACGTATTATTTATTATTACTATTCTTATTTATTTTATATTTTTTTTCTACTTCAAAATAATTATATATATTTGTTTCATATTTAGGTAAGTATATTTTATTAGGTGCAGATACTTAACTTTTAATTGGAAATGAAAAATATTATTAAGAAATAATAATATAATAATATATAAATATATATTAAGAAATATTATTTTTTCCTGTCTTCTTTCAGTTAAACCAGCTTCACGAGATTTCCTTGCTTTATTCTTGTCTTGGAGAAAACTCATTAACTCGTACCCGAACCATTTGGCACGAAATTCTCTTCCCGCACCAGATTTTTTCATTGCCTTATATGCACGTCTCTCCCTGGAGTATTGTGAATACACATTTTTTAATTTCCTATCAATTTCATTTGCGTCTGTATTTAACTGGATAGCAATTTCTTTTAAGGCATCTGCTTTCTTAAATTTATTTTTGTAGTTAGGGCTTTGACACGGTACGCAGAGGCAACCAGTACAAAGTACAGGTACCGCAGCGACCGGTCTGCGCTTTTGACAACCACCACCACGGGCTACGAGCGCGACATCGCCAACTCTCCCACCACGCCACAGAGGCAAGGCGGGACGGGAAGGCGAGTCGCACAAGACGAGTACCGGCCGCCGGCGGGTCCCTCTCTCGTTCGAACACCGTCGTACCGACTACACACCGTGACCAAATCACCCGAAAATCGCCGCCTACAATTAATACACAATTTTATCTGTACATTTATACTCGACGTATCATACCGTTTTTCACCTAAATAAACAGTAACTACGAATGAAGTGTTGCGTTGTGTTTTTTTTTCTGAAATACTGTGACACCTACCGTTACCTCTTCACACAACCACCACTTTAACAACCGGCTTATTACGACCTTTCCACGTCACCACCGAAGCCGCGTCAAATTAGCTCCCCGCAGAGGAATCTCCTCAAGTCAGCGACAAGGTAAGAGTTTTCACGCTGACACATACCTCGGATTAATTGCTTACATTAAATTAGTAATAAGTTATTCGACCAGGAGTGTGTTTGCCGGTTAGCTAGGACCCCATAGAGAACATTGCGTAACAATTATTTCTAGAACGTAACAGGGAATTCCGCGCAACCGTGCATAACCGTGATACGGATTGGGAAGTAGTTATATAACAACCACCACCCCTCCGCAACACCTACCTTTCGCACCGCGACATTATCGCCGATAACAACAGAGCGCGCAGGCCAAAAACCGGTTCAGCCGCAGCAGCCGACAGCTGCCACCGCCGAGGTCGTTGACCCAGTACCACTATTTTTGGTACGCAACGGCGGCACTGTCGTCAGCTGATCTGCTACACAATCATAAATAATAAATATATAAATTGTCGTATCTAGCGCGCGAAATTTACCAAAAAAACAAAAAGCCTCCTCAAAACCGTGTACACCGCGCAACAAGCACAAGCCACTGACCATACAACAGCGTAACGACCACATTGGTAAACAATTTTACACAATGTCGGAAAAAAACGTTACAGCAGTTGCCGTCGGCGGAGCTACGTAGCGAGTGCACGGCCCACGGCCTCAGCGCGTCCGGGTCGAAGCCGGATGTGTACGTCAGGCTAGAGGAGCACCTTAGGGCAAGCGGACTAGTCCCCGAGAATGTGAGGTTCATAACAGTGCAGCCTGTAATCGTAGGATTACAGGGCAGTACTGAACAGCAACAACCCACGACATCAGCTCTGGAAAACACGAACGCCAGCCAGATTTTCGGACAACCGGCTGGGGAAATGTTGACAAGCCCAAAAGCAAGTCAAAAATCCACAGATAACCGGTCTGAAATCTGCAGCTTCCAGTTGACCATGCAGCAGGGCCAGTCCGCACAACCTTTAGAAACCGACATTTTCGAAACCGCGGCGAAACAGCTACATCAGTTAAAATTAATGTTGCCACAAACGAACGACCCAACATCGTTCGAGGCACGTTTAGGGACATTGGAAGACGAGCAGTGTCGGCCTGGTACCTAAAGGGCCCCGGATGCATTTCTTCAGAAGGGCCCCCAAAAATGTTTTTTCATAAAATTATTAAAAATGTACTTATAAGTAGGTAGTGTAAAATATTATCATTTTTTAAAGGTACCATATATAAAATTAACCATTCATTAAGTTAAGATTTAAGTTAGATTAATAATTTATTATTCTAAACAATTTTTTACATATTACATAATATAAATAATACCTTCTCACATTATACAACTTAATATTTTTTTTAATGTGATTCAAATTCAAAATTAATTGTGCATTTGGTTTTCTTTATATCAGTAATTTTTTTAGTTCACTAGATGAGTTAGCAATCGTATCAATCAACTCATCTGAGTCAATCAAAATATCCTTTTCAATGGACATTAGCATTAATGGATTAAGATGTTCTTGGGGTAGAGAAGACCGAAGTTTAGTTTTGATTATTTTCAGCTTTGAAAATACTCTTTCACAGGTAGTCTGTGTTGATGGTAATAGCAACACAAATTTATATAATGTGAACAAATTATAAAATAAATTAGATTGACATGACAGCTCTTGGAGCAAAATCAATGCACAGGGAAGACATTTAGTGCATTTGTCACATTTAATCTGTTCGGTGGGTTTAACTTCAATATCTTCATCTTCATCAATATATTTTAGAAGATTTAGATTTAATATCGTAAAAATCATTTTCAGATACATCTGGTATGAAATTACTATACTGACAAGCAAACTGTTTTAGCTCAATTGCAATGATCTCTTTGTCTAAATCTGCTAGTTTACATATTGTGTTCAACGAGTCCTTGGGAAATTCTTCCGGTTCATTAATAAAAGCAAATGTTTTAGGATCCAGCCAATTTTAATAACATTTCATTAGGTACAAATCGTGATTTTATGCTATTAAGAATAGTATCTATAATAGAATAAGCATTTGACTTAAATTTTGTGTAAGGTGTTATAATTCTAACTTCATCTGAACACTTATTTATATTTCTGAGTACGATCGGGGGCGGGGGCCCCCGAACACGTTTGCGGCCTAGCGGCCATGGCCAGGCCGACACTGATGACGCGGTTCTTCACAGAATCACGCCAGGCAACCGCCGAACAGTGTAGCGGCCCCGCGGTCGGACAACCACCCGTCACCCGTACAGAAAACAAATCGTACACACGATAATTACCAGTCGGGTAGGTCATATGAGTTCAATGACGGCGGCGCTCAACACAGCGTCAACCACATTGCCGACGCGAACAACCGACCGTTCTTCGCGCGCGAAACTAATGACTATACGGGTCACACCACACGCGCGTCACAATACGCGCCGTACGAAGCACGCGCGCATGAACGTTTGGTACTAATACCGTACGAGGACTTGCGTACAGCAAGAGCTTCATTACCCGAGTTCACTGGAACAAGGGCCGAGGACCCCGTACGGTACATTAACAATACCGAATCGATTTTAGTGCAAGCTCGTATACACCCCTCGGGCTGGTGCAGGGCGGTCGAGCCGCAGTTAAAAGGAACGGCGAGTGTATGGTACGCATCCATAAAAGTACTCGACCTATCCTGGGAAGAATTTAGGGTTGAGTTTTTAGAAAATTACAACAATTCCGAAATCCAGTCCCAACTGCGCGCCGACATCGTGTCAACACGACAAACGCCCAGACAGTCGCTAACTGAATTTGTGCTAGTAAAAAACCAGGAAGCGCGCCGCGTAAATACCGGCCTATCCGAGTCGGAATTGGTAGGTATTATAGCAGGATTAACGCGCGACACTTTCCGAACACACATCCGTCTACAACGGCCATTGACGTTCAACGAGCTACGACGCATCGCAGGCGTCTTGGACCCGGTAACGGACAGCACAATCCCGACCCCCCAACAATGGGCCCCTAAACTCAAAAAAGGGGAGGATACCCCACAAACAGCCCCCCGGTCAAAAAAAATCACCACGTCGGGAAACGGTGGGGGAGTCGACGGGGACTAGTCCCCCCCATCGACTCAACACCACCCCCCACCCATCACCAACCACTATCGGTAGTACACACGGAAAAAAAACACGTAATCGAAAAGCGCGTAGTTCGGTAATTCAACACACAGAAAACCAACTACGAAAATTTTTTCCGTCTCATCACCAATCGGCACTCGTTCACAGACCCCCAACCTACACCACCCCACCACAGAACACACTCACCTCACCGGTGACACGTGTGTTCAACAACAACCGGCTCATGGGGCAGCCACAGGTGTAGGGACAAAGGCAACAGAGACACGGGTGTACACCTGCACAGGTGACGGGGACACAAGCACACATACCGCGCTTATCCCCGCATTAGGTCAGTCTGCGCACGTAAAGCAACGAGGCAACCGGCGTTGACAGTATGGTCATGGTGGTTAACACCGACGACCAGACAGTCACTGTCGCGGCTCAGAACCAGTTGTCCCGCTCAACAGATTGCAATACGACTAATAATGGTATACGAACACGCCTAGACAAAATTCCGACCCCCGCGGTCGAACTCCAGTCATCTCAAGTCAAAATCAATTAACTTTCAAGTTAGCCACCTAGGTAGGCAATCCGAAATAAAATACAAATTATATTTATATAATAATCATGGAAATTTTGAAAAATATGCAATTATAATAATTCCTAATAAAACAAATATAATATGTACCTATTTATTGTGTGATATAATATGACAATGACTTTAAATAACATATATGTTTGTGCCAAGCAATTCGCTTATCGCAGACACGGCACTACGCGACGGCGATCTTTCCCTTTGTATCCAAACACCACTCCGTCTTTAATTTATTTTATTATTATTATTCAAAATTATTATATTTATTTATTATCTTTGTTATTATTTCTCGTGTGAATAATTATTGATCAGCTGTTACCACATATTATTATCAATTATTCGTATTATTTGTGTTATGATTTATATTATTTACTGTTGCGGCCAACGCCCTTGTTTACTTTTTACTTTTTATTATTGCTGCGACCATAATATATGTCGTTTGTTGGTCCCCGCTATTGCAGCGTGTTTTTCGTTTATTATTCTGTTTTTTGTAACGTGCTAATTATTAAATTTATGAGCGTAAGTTTTTCGTTTTATATTATATAAACTCATTGTCAATTTACTATCGCGCATTGAGCGCAGAGGTTTGTAAGCTATTATTATTATTGTTGGCAATCAGTGCCTAATACTGAATTCGCATATTATACCAAATTATTATACTCATTGCGAGGAAAAATAAAGACACTCGTATCCAGTACCCGCTCTCGTAAGTCATCCGTCATTTCTGTTATTCATTCATTTTCTCCGGTAAACTCAGCCTGCAGCTTTCCCGGAATACTGTCAACGCGTAAGTTATTATCGAGACCATTGTCGTCTTTGCAGTAGTCAGCTCAAGCCGCCAGCTGTATATATATATCTGTGGTACTCGGGTAAAAGGTCTTAAGTACAAAAATTGCGAAAATGGGATTAAAATACATAAAATATTTAAAAAAAAATGCTCTTTTTTTGGGTAAAAAGAACTAAGTCCTATCCCTACCCAATGCGTCATAATACCAATGTGTAATAAGCGCCTTTATAGAAAATGTTGGTCATAATGCATTAAATCACATAAGTCTTTATGCACAGTTAGAAAAATATATATAAACAGTTTAAGTAGACTTAAACCTTTTAACACATATTTTAATTTTGACTTAATACTTTTAACCCCTCATTTTAATTTTATAAACGTGTCACCATAATAATTGAAATCAATAAATAATATTATTGTAATCAAGCTAATTGTTATCATTATCGAATATCATAACGTAAAATAATATCAAAGACATTATAAATTGTTATATGTGGAGTGAAGTGGATGGAGGTCGTGGAGCAAACCAAATAGCATCTTGTTTAATGAAACATTTAAGTAATATAAGTTCTTCCGTCAAGCAAGTTACATTATATTCAGACACATGTGGAGGTCAGAATAAAAATTCACATATGATGGCCATGTACATGTCTTGTATTAAAAATCACGAAAACATAGAAATCATAGATCATACATTTTTAGTTGCTGGCCACACTCATTTGGAGTGTGACATAGATCATGCTTTAATAGAAAAAAAAAAAAATAGTAAAACACCGATTTATCATCCGCATGACTGGCTACAACTTGTAAGACAAACTGGCAAAAAAATCCATTTCAAGTAATTGAAATGACTATGAATGATTTTTTTAGTTTTTCAGAACTTTTAAAATCTGCATTAAATACAAAAAAGTTCAATGATAATGGAGAGAAGTTTGTGTGGAAAGATATCAAGTGGTTGCGTTTCACAAAAAACATTGGAGTTCTGCTGTATAAAGATACTTTAAATGCCGATGTACCATTTAAAACCATATCACTTCTTAGAAAAGGTCATGCCCGAAGTAATCTATTATCTCCATTGACTGTCAAAATAAAAAAGATTTGATTGAGTTACTTCCTCTCATACCTACAGTATTTCATCATTTTTATCAAGCACTACCTACAGATAGTCAAACAAAAGATACATTGCCAGATGATGATGTAGAAGAGAACTCAGAATGAATTATTAATTATATTCCTAATAATCTAAGTCAGTAAAATCTATTGTGAAATATGACTTAAGTCTTATTATTTTGGTTTTTTTTAAGTTTATATATTATTAAACAAGTTAATTTTGTTATTTTTTATGTTTTCTCATATAAGAGTATTTTATACAAGTGGTTATAATTTTTTTGTTTATGTTAAAGTTTATTAAAATAAAAAGTTTTTTCTCAAATTTTATTCAAAATTTTAATTTAATTTTCCTGAAATTATTCATTTTGGACATAAGACCTTTTACCCGAGCACCACAGATATATTATGTATAGATATATATCTATATATATATTGTTCGCGCCGGGAACGTACAACAATAGGCTGTGGGCCCGGTCAGCTCAATACTTCGTCGCGCACTCCTAATTCCTATCACACACCGACCGACCTATAGTTTGTGTGTATATTATGTTATTAGCATTCAACAGAAGGTGGCAAGGTTCGCCGAGCAAATCCTGAGAATGCTAGTGTGTAGTGGGTGTGTATATGAGTATGTGTGAAATGTAGACTTATAACTAATTGACTAGGTAACTCAAGTAATAAATATGGCAATTAAATATAAGCTGTCACCCTTTGTTTATTGACGAAACAATGTATATATAATAATAAATATATAGCCAGACCGGCTCAATATACAATAATAATAACGATAATAAGTAGGTACTCACAATAATTTAAGATACGAAGACTGGCCAGCCGCTACATGTACCTAACCTAACTATAATAGTATACAGCGCGAATAAATAACAATTGTTGCCAGGTGAAAATTCTTAAACTTTCGATCTATCTTCTAAAAAGTTTCGATTTCATTTTTAAAATCCTCATTTTTTTTTATACTCGAACCTCGCTTCGCTCGGTTCTCGCATAACAATATATATGTAAAAAACAGGGGGGAAATCACCATTCGAAAATTTGTATTTAATAATAATTTAGTATACACTATCTTCATCATTATGGTAGTTGTAGGTACGTAACGCGATTAAAGATGGTGGTACGTAAGTATAATATTGTGCCACAGATTTCTATATATTACTAGATAGCGAACTCCGGTCATGAATTGAAGCTTCAAGGTCGGTTGGCAATTGTATGGTATTTCATATGACAAATAAGATGATATTATGATTTATTTTATATCGTATTTTTTTACCTACTATTTTATTTGACCGTTAAAAAAAATATTATTCCTAATACATTTTGTATAATAAATGAAATGTTTTGCCAACCGACAAAATGGCGGCCGTTCACAGCTGAGCTTCACTTGTAACAATGTAAATTGCATAAGAGTTCCTTATCTAGTGTAGTATAGAAGTCTGTGTATTGTGCACGGACTAAGATGTGATATTGTGTCATCGAGATAGATAAGAATTCTTATCTAGCTCGATCACCATGGCCCGTGATAACTACATTGATAACACGGACTAAGATATACAGGACTGGACACGAGATGAATATTGTGGTTACGAAATGTTTTACAACAGGCGGAGTTCGGGGGGATATTTTCCTTTTAGCATTACTAGCGCCGTCTTAGTGGATACTTATGGAACTAGAAATTTGTATGATGTGTTCTAGTTCCATAAGTTCTACATTTCGTAGTCAACCCCCCCACACCCTCCAACCATGTCGTGTCCAGTCCTGTATATCTTAGTCCGTGATTGATAATAATATTTGTAAAATACCAGATACCTACTAAAGTACTAAACACGATTTAAGATACCTATATCTTACATCGTGGTACTAAATAATAAAATATCGGGACACAAATACTACATTATGCTATTGTTATTCATACAATTATGAATTAATACCTACTGCATAAAGATACAAAATATTTCAACTATTCATTATTTCTTTAGCAAAATTTTAATCTTCTTTATTTTCCTTTTTATTACAATAGTTAATTAACATCAAAATTTCAAATAAACAAAGTATAATGAAAATAACATTAGAGCCAACAACAAAACAAATTAAATTAAAGTAAAACTTAATGAACAACCTTTGTTTTTAAACATAAAGCATAAAATAACATATTAATAAAAATAAAACAGATAACATATTTTCTTAATATAGGTAAAAAATAGTTTCTTATAAAACAAATAATATTAAGTCATTAATTTTTCCTTTTTATCACAAAAGATAATTAACATAAAAATATCAAATAAACAAAGTATAATGAAAATAACATTATAGCCAACAACAAAACAAATTAAATTAAAGTAAAACTTAATGAACAACCTTTGTTTTTAATGTATCAAAATATCATTCATTCATGTTATAAAACAAAGAAAAAATAAAATCCAAGCTTTTTAATTAATAAAATACATATTTTTTATGAAATTTATGATGTAAACATTGAGTTATTATGTTTTTTAATTATTTCACTGGTTATTTCAAAATCATAACATAATTTATTTTGAGTATTTAAAATATTTTTGGAGTGTAGAATTCCAGTAAATGTCTCTGTACCTAGTCTATTTCTAATTTTTGTTTTATTTAAATTAATACAAGAAAAAATCCTTTCAACGCACGCGCTGCTGTGCGGTAGTACAATCAAATAGTTTACCAATTTCATTAGTAATGGAAATGCCATTTCACCTATATTACTTTTTAAATTGTACACATTTTTCCAAAAGTGTATAAGTTCCATGTCAACATCTAAATCCATATTTCTTAAAGACCTCCATTCCCTGTCCAAGTCATTTAGATTTAGTTCCAAAAGAACCTCAAAATGTGTTGCTGCTGGTCCAATTGATATGACATTTTTGATATTTTTAGGATCAAGAAAAGTTAATGCTTTTAAGCACTTCACTTCTTTAGAATGAAATGGAAATCTTTGGAAAATTTGATGAGCACATTCAACATAAAAGCTTAAGCAGTTATTATAAAACACACCTTTTTCTGTATCGGTCAACTTACAATCTTCACCAAGCAAAGCCATACATTTACCACCTACGTATATATTTTCTGGTCTTACAAAATTTGAAGGTAATCTATATTGGACCTTTTCAATTTCAGTATTATTCAAATAGTCAGGTTTTATATAAAACTCTAAGATGGTTCTATATGTAGAAGCCATTCTTGAATACAAAATATGGATATGTGGTTTTTCGTTTTGAAACAACATATTAATGAAGTCAAAAATGGTAGTACATAATCTAAGAAATTTAAATAAAGTTCAAAGTGTATATCATGAATGTCATCAAATATTTCTTTGGTTTTTTTATCCAACAAGTATTCACCTTGAAAATATAGCTTTAATGCATTTAGTTGTTCTAATAACCGTTCTATGCATGAATGCAATGATAACCACCTCGTTTGGCAAGGTTTTAAAATTTTATGTGGTCTCAATTCACAAAATGTTTGAAACTGCTTGTACTCACTTTGCCTCTTAAAACTGTACATGAAGTATGTGTATATTTCTCGAACTATTTTTTCTACACTGTCAGGAATTTTTTTAGTAGCGTATGAGGCGACTAACGCTAATGAATGACAAATACACTTCATTGAATATAAATAGGGAATGTCTTTCTCAAATAACACTTTTACTGAGTGTTTTGAACTAAACATAGCACTAGCCCCATCTGCTGCAAAGCCAACTAAGTTTTTATTATATGGTACAGAATGCTCGGCAAAAAAATGTACAATAGTGTTATACACTCCCTGCACACTTCCATCACTTATATCTATTAAACATATAAATTCATCTCTCACTTCATAAACATAACCATCTAATAAACGTACAACAACAGCTAAATGTTTAGTAGCAGATTTATCAGTTGACTCATCAATTATCATACTAAATTGTTGATTTTTAATTTTATTAACCAGATTTTCAAACCCAGTGGCACCAAGCACATTCTTAACAATGGCAGTTGCCTTTGTTCTATTACAAGAGAGTTTGGGTATTACCTCAGGACTGATGGACTTGAGAAGCTGAACTAGATGATCGGTAGTATTGAACGAAATATTATGTTCTGTCACAAACATAGCGATTCTTAATTCGGCTTCCTTCGTTTTTTTTGCAATCGTTGTTGTTCTGGATAACATTTGTTGGTTCATCGCACTAATTGAACTCGTACTTGATACGGCTTTGGCTGCTCGTTGATGTTTCATGGTGCCCATATGCTTTTTAACGGCCGATATACCTCCTTTGTTGTCTTCAAGCAAATCTTACAGTAAAAGTGATTTACACTTTTCTTGCTAGATGCAAGCCATGGACGATAATCTTTATTATTCAACCAAGAATCGCAAAATCTGTGCTCGTATGATTTTTTTTGTGAACGACTCGATTTAGAAGTGTTGTTTTCTCTATCTGTTTCATATTCAGATGAATCCATTTTAAAAAAATGTGTACAAACTACTACAGTACTTACTACTTCGTACTGAAAAAAACTATCTGTATTGCGCAGTAACAACTGTAACAGATATCTTACTTCCAATAATTAATTAAGATTTAAAATCTTCCAGACCATTCTATCATTTGAAGATATAAATAATATATTTTCAATTTCGCATAAGATATAAATAGTTAATACTTAATACTACCATGATGGCAGTCTGGCCCGATTATAAAATATAAAGATTATATTAAGTTCTTTATAATCGTGTTTCGTGGATTGGCGATAGAAATTGATAGACAGCTTATCTGTTATCACTATCGAAATCTAATATCTATCGCCAATCGTACCGAACACGGTCCGTACTGGACGTACCGAAGAAAAATATGATACTAAAATTAGTGTATCACAGATTAGATTAAAAAGACTAATCTGAGATAATATTATGTAAAACATAGTTATATATAAATTATCTAAAAAATAAATAAATATATATAATTTATTATACTAATTATCTATGTGTAAAACGGAGTCAAAATTCTCCAGAAATCCTCAGATTTACAAATTCCCCAAAAAAGTTTCCAGCAATATCAAAAATCTCCAGATTGAGGATAAATCTCCAGACCTGGCAACACACACTAACGACGCACTACTAACTAATTAAATTGACAGACACAAATTGTACATAATTTATAATTCACTGATAGGACATGAGATGTGCGTTGTGGGTCGGGAGGTGGAAGTGCGCGGAGCGGTCAGCGATACTACCGCGAATTATAATAAATTGGTGATATAGACTTACGTAATGAATAATGATATAATTGTCGTTCCGGCGCGAACATATATATATACCTAGTATAAGTTAGTCAATAAGCTCCCCAATATTATAATTGTACCCTGTGGTCATTGCACCAAACCGAATCAACCACAGGTCCCCCGATCCCCATAAATAACTTGTATTGTCCTGACTTCCAATATGTACGTCACCTCCCATCCTCAACATAGTGTCGTCGTCGCGTAAACGGTCAGGCGTGCGCGTAGAGTTGCCTATCCCGCCAAGTAGTAGGCATCAAGATTAGTGCAACATCTCGATATTTTCTTCTCGGTTCTTACCGAGTGATTTTCTTTCTGCCAACTCAGTGTTGGGCGCAAACACTATAAGTAGGTACATCGTACATAATATATATATATATAATGTACGATATGTTCCTGTATAGTGTATATTATTATATTATTATTTAATTTATATGAAATATAACGTGAAAAAAAAATGCAAAAAAAGTCAAGCTTCGGGCGGTCGTGTATACCATACCATACCCGGAGGGCGTACGTCGGATTCGAACTCGGGACCTACGTATTTCCTACCTAACGTCTAGCCTACTCGGACACGGTTTGTGATATGGAATACAGTTAAAACATACGGAGCGACGTAAACCGATATATTCAATGATCATCGACGTAATCGCATATAATTCGGTTGTAATACGCGCGTCTCCCATATATATATTTAACGGGGGGCCGGGCGTGTGAAAAGCGTTTTCTGTTAATAATTATTAAATCATAGGCAAAAATTAAATTATACACGTATATATAATTTATTCGTATATAAGAGTCCGTCTGCATGGCTAATAAATTTTTAATGAAAACTGCAATATTTGGATGTGCGGAAGTAAATAAATTACTAAATTTGGCATGAAAAGACTCACAGTTGTTTGTTGTTCTCTCCAATGTTGCTTCTTTTTTGGCCCAAATACTGGGTGGGAATGTTGCATCGTTTTTTATGTATGTTTTGTCCAAGTAAGTGATAATTTTTTTAATTCGTGCATCCTTGGGTTGGTCATTTTTAAAGTCATTTTCAAAGCATAGTTCAACTTCATTAGGATCTAGAAACATAAGACCAAATAATTGTCTGAGCCATTTTCCTATGTTGGATTCGTTGTTTTTATATTCTTGAACAAGACCAACTGCTTGTATTCGTCTCCACCTATTAACAAAAAATAAATAAAAATAGGTAACTAATAAGTGAAACAAATATATGTATTATCCATACGAACCATGATTGACTAAGATGAAAACGGCATCCAATTATAACTATATTAGGAAATATATCTTTCACGCTTGAATGAATTGCCGTTTCGAAATCGATGACTAGTGTTCTTGGTTGCAAACATTTGTTTAACGATTGACATTTTTCACGAAGTATTTCCTAAATAGCTGTATATGTATCTTTATTTTTATTTGGAAGCAAACAGAACACAACTGGTACAAATACACCATTACGATATGCGTGAATACTGAATAATTGGTGAAAAAATTTCGTACAGTATTTAAATGTACCATCAACGTATAAGGTCGGAGAATCACACATAAAATTTATTATATTACTTTATTATACTATTTTAATTTCGTAAGCGTTCACGAGAAATGCTATCTCTAATTAATTTTGTGTCTTTACATGTTAAAGTCGAAGCTGCTTCTACATTATTGGCTATTTCAAGTTTTATTAACTTGGAAGGACGATCAGTAATATAATCAAGTCCCTTTCGTTTTATCCCGTTACTAATCTTTTGTCGAACAATAATATTGATTCTAAATAAATAATATTGTCCCTGATTCCCGCGAAAAATTATAATCAACGCCAATTGTGTGTAATTTTGCTGTACACATTTTTTGTATGCATTTCCATCCAATTTCCCCGGATATTAATTCTGAATACTTAGAATATTTGTAGTTACTTTTTACTAATAGCACATTTCCCCGTTGACTGTATACAACACTTATTTCACGTTCACTTGCCATCATATTTAAAATTTAAATAAAACTTAATTAAATATATAATATAATAATAAATATATAATTGATAATTTAAGCTAATAAATAAATTAACAATTAACAATTAGCAATTAGTTAAGTCAGTTGGTGTTGTGCAGTCATACGACTATGTTGTGCAGTGCATAATTTATATTATTACCTATCAGTGATATCGTATTGCCTACTATCTTATAAATTATCTTTTTTCTTTTTTATCATTATTATTATTGTCTTCAACAATGCAAGATCAACTAGATTCTATATTAAAATCTTTAAATGAGGTAAAGTCTACACAAAATAAAATGATCACTTCAATAAATGAACAAAATAAAACTTTAAAAAGTTTTAATAAACGATTTGATGACCTATCTACTGAAATAAATAAACTAGCTACTGAAAATTCATTTTTAAAAACTAAAATTTCTGAACTTGAGAACAAATTAATACAAATCGAAAAAACTACTTTAACTACTCAATTGGATGAATTAAATATATTAAATGAATTAGCTGATAGACAATCAAGAGCTCAAAATATAATCTTGTATAACTTACCAGAAAATTTAAATAACACACAAATTCCTATATCCGATGGTGACAATTTGAAACTTATATTCAAAGAAATGAAGGTAGACTATAATCCTATAAATTTTAACCGTTTAGGAAAACCTTCAGATCGAACACGCCCGTTAAAAATAACTCTTGCGGATAAAAAAATCTATCTTTGAAACATTACGTGCACAATCCACTCTACGTCATTCTCCGGATTTTAAAGACATACGTTTTTCATCAGATCGAACAATCAAACAAAGAGAACAAATGGCACTACTTCGGAAAGAACTCGAATCACGTCGCGAAAAAGGAGAAACCAATATTATAATTAAATACATAAAAGGAAATCCACAAATTATTAACTCAAAAAACATGTAAAGTCAAATCCATTTACTATCTCAATCTATTATCAAAATGTACGTGGTTTAAACACAAAAACCCATATGTTAAACTCCCGCATTCCCTTATCTTGCTTCAACGTCTATGCTTTTATTGAAACCCGGTTATCTAACAATATAAATAGTTCAGAATTAGGTTTTAATGAATATAATATTTTTCGATGTGATAGAAATACTTACAATAGTAATCTTACTAGAGGTGGCGGAGTACTTATCGCTGTTGATAACAAATTATATTCTCGATGTATTAATATATCCGATAATACGTTAGAAATGGTTATTGTATTAATAAAATTTGAAGATAAAACCGTTATTATAAGTTCAATTTATATTCCTAACAAAGCAGTTATAGAAGTATATTCAAAATATTTTAAAATAATAAACGATATATATTATAACTATCCCAACTCAGATATCATTTTACTTGGCGATTTTAATATTCCCTCAGCAATTTCTACAAATACAAAAAATTTCTTTTTCGACAACATTTCCTTCTTAAATATGTTTCAATTTAATAATATTTGTAATTCAAAAAATGATATTCTTGACTATGTTATATCAAACAATAACTCTATTAATGTAATTTTAAATAAGTTTCCTGTAGTAAATGTTGATTTATATCACCCTCCACTTGAAATAAGTTGTGTTGTTTCACTTTTAAAAATAAAAGATTTAAAATATAATGAAATTGTATATGATTGGGAAAAAGCAAATTACTATCAAATACATTTATCACTGTCATCGATTAATTGGTTGGATATATTTTTAAATAATAATATAGAATCTAATATTTCATTATTCTACTCGTTATTATCTAACATAATTAATAGCTTTGTACCAACTTACATTAAACGCATCTCTTCATATCCTATATGGTTTAGTAATGAACTTAAATCACTAATTAACCAAAAAAAAAAGCTCATTATAATTTTAAATATTTAAAATCTTATTCAAATTACATAAAATTTTCAAATCTAAGAACTAAATGCAAAAATCTAAGACATATAGACTATTCTACATATTTAAAAAATGTTCAAAATAATGTAATATCAAATCCCAAATACTTCTGGAAATTTTTTAACGATAAAAAACCTAAAAATCACCTTCCTAATTTAATGCAATTTAATTACAAGGAGGCAAGCGATGGACAATCCATAGTAGACATGTTTAAAGAATATTTTTCAAGTGTATACACATCACCCTTAACAAATCCTAATTACAAACATAACATTTTAAATTCAATACCAAATATTTGCAATACCAACATTTCTTTAATGGATATTTTCAACGAATTAGACAATCTAAATATAAATCTATGTCCAGGTCCAGATAATATATCTCCTAAATTTCTTTATAATTGCCGCTTCATATTATCATATCCAATTCACTACTTATTCAAACAATCGTTATCATCTGGAACTTTTCCATCACTTTTTAAAATAGTTTATATTTCCGCGTTATTTAAAAAAGGAGATCGTTCATCCGTTTTAAATTATCGTCCTATCTCAATAATATCAATCATACCTAAGGTTTTCACAAAATTAATAAATGACAAACTATTCCCTATATTAAAAAATATTATTATCAAAGAACAACATGGTTTTCTTACTAAACGATCAACCATTACTAATTTAGCCACATTCAAACAAACCATTTTTGAATCTTTTAATATGAATACACAAACAGATGTGATATATACTGATTTTAAGAAAGCTTTTGATCGAATTGATCATAACTTATTAATATCTAAATTAAATCATTATGGTATAAAAAATCCTCTATTATCATGGTTTTCTTCATTTTTAACAGAAAGATTTCAAATTGTAAAATATAATGAGTTTTTTTCAAATCCGATTTCTATAACATCCGGGGTTCCACAAGGAGACCACATTTCTCCGCTGTTATTTCTATTATACATAAATGATATTTCTTCTTCACTAAAACATACAAATATTCTACTTTTTGCTGATGACGCGAAATTATATAAAACTATTTACTCCGTTTCTGATGCCTTGAAGTTACAATCAGATTTAGACGCATTTTACGATTGGTGCACAAATAACGGCATGGAACTAAATATAAATAAATGTTCAATTATCTCATTCTCTCAAAAAAAAACCATTCTTGATTTTAATTACAATTTTATAAACCTTGAAATTAAACGTGTATATTTAATAAATGATTTAGGTGTATTTTTCGACACAAAAATGAATTTTAAACAACATATCAATAAAATAAAAAATAAAGCATCTTCTAAGTTAGGATTCTTAAAACGACAATGTTCAAATTTTAACAATCATTTCGCATTAAAAAACATTTATTTTTCTATTGTACGTTCTCAACTAGAATATGCTGCTTTCATTTGGTCTCCTAATTCCTTAATTCTAAATCAAACTCTTGATTCCGTTCAAAATTCTTTTTTACGCTTTTTATCCTTCAAATGTAATGTAGAACGCCTTTCACATTCAGGTTATGAGGGAGTATCTGGTTTTTTCAACATACCTACTTTGAGAAATCGTAGAAAATATCTAGCTTACATTTTTCTTTTTAATTTATTAAATAACAAAATTGAATGCCAAGAAATACTAGAAAGATTAAATTTTAAAGCAAAAATTATTTTAACTAGAAATAACGATTTATTCACTTTGAAAATTATACGAACCAATTATTCTTTTTCCTCCCCAATAAATTCACTGATGTCTATTGCAAATTCAGTTAATTTAGATTTGTTTTTTTGTAATATAAATAGTATTAAATCAGCATTTAATGTTTGATTATTTAAAATGTATTTTTTGTTTTGTTTCAATGTTTTTAATTGTTCACTGTTAATTCAGTCTAAATGTAATTATATTTAATATATTGTAAACTATACTTGTACTATATCTAGGTTTAAATAATATGTAATCACTAAACTAAATATTCATCATATGTTTTGTTACACTGTACACTATATATTAATATTGTAAATGGATTTATTCCGTAAATAAATAAATAAAATAAATAAATAAATAAATAAATTATATTTTAAGCAAACACTCTGAGATCAGAGAACTGAATTCGTCCCGTAAACGTTGGATACTAGGGGAAATAAATATATTGGTTATTAGTTATTACCTATAATAATATGTTATCAATTTTATATTTTATCAGTTTTATGACATGTGGACTTTTGGTGTTTGAAATATTTTTAGAATGCGGAGTAACGGTGCCTTCGTTTTTTCGACCGTGCGGAGATACGGTGCGTTCGTGTTTTTGACCGTGCGGAGATACGGTGCATGCGGAGTTACGGATTCACAAAATATTTTTATTCATGCGGAGCTACGGTGCGTCCAGTCGTCTATCCTAGTGGAGAAAAACGGAGACTAACCGTAAAGAGATTATGTATTTATATTTATGTTCTCTGTGTTTTATTATTGTTGAAATATACAATTAATATGTAGTACATGTAGTCAGCCTTGACACGTGTGTACAATATAGTAACTAGTTATGTACGAGCATAAGACTCACTCTCTTCACGGATGTAACATGACCTCGGTCGTGCATATATATAGGGCCTTTGATGTATGTAATATTCACTTGCACGGGCGTCGTTGTACAGAGCGTATACGATGTGTGTGTACTGTCACAGTTTAATTGTCCAGTTGTACGTTATTATATATTATACTTATACATAATCATATTGTGGTGTTATTACTTACTATATTAATGCTAATATCATTAGTCCGTCTAGCTTCATTTTCAACAATTATCGAACTTGCTCTCGCCTCGCTCGTCAGCAACTACTCGCGCTTCTACGGCTACGGCGCCTTAGACTCGTTCTTTTTATGCACCGCGCTCAAACGCAAATCATCGCCCCGTAACCGCCACTCCAAGCCCGCGATTTCTCCGCACGTTTTTTTGTCCCGCGTTCGTTCGCGCATTCACGCTCCTTTTTTTGTATTTTAAGTACTGCGTACGGCACATTTTATTATTGCACTAACTTGTTTGTTTTACTGTTTTAAATATACGTACCTCGACGCTCTTGCGTCATCAACCGAAAACTCTACTTTTTATTTAAGCTCGTGTAACCCTACTGACTTGAAGTCAGATCTTGTTTGTAAGTGTAGTCGCCACAGGTTACCTCCTAAGCCACCGGGCTTCTACACTTACCAAATTGGTGACCTCAAATTCCGAACGCACGAGTTTAACGATTCCGCCCGCCGCGAAAGTCCGTCCGTTCGCAAGTGCGCCAACCGCCATCCGACCACGTGGGTCGCCGCGAGTTATCCGATTGCATCCGACGCTATGACGACGTTAAAATATGGTTGACGGCTTAAGCGTCTCAACAACGCCACAGGTGACATAGCCATATCAGCCACATAGCCTAACCTAACCAGGTTTTCGGCGATAGGCCCCGCCACACTGGTTCACACACGCGGACGCGATGTTTGCGAACAAGCGCATAAAATCCGACCTTACACGGGTCAATCTGGAGGCCCTTGACGAAGACGGTGTCAAGATCATTTCCGACCATTTGGGAAGCAACGCGTCGTACGCCGAAATCCGACAACGAATCATCAGCACTTACGCCGTCCCACAGGCTACGCGTTTCCGAAATATCGTCCAGCCGGGCGATATGGGCGACCGCACCCGCCACGACTACTGCGAGACATGCGAGACGTCTACCCAGAAGACATGGGCGACTCCGCGCTCGAACAATTCCCCTCGGCAGTCCGCACAGTTATCGCGGGAATGGCAGGGTCTCTCGCCGAACGAGCGGACCGGATCATGGAAACATGTACCGGAACAGAAGTGTCGGCATTCAAAGCGACAACAAACCAACCAACCCGCCAACGACGCACGAAATCGCGAGACACGTGTAACGTGCTACTCCGCGTTACTCGTAGAAATGGAAGTAATAATTGAACAAAACCTCTTTGATGGTATTTATTGTATTTATTTATGTAAACAGTTTTATGGAAAATATTCTAAGTCCAATTAATTATGTTTATTGACTTAAGCGAGATGTGACTATGAGTATTTAGTGACTGTTCAAGTTGAGGCTGGTTTTTCGTCTGATGAACGCTTGTCCTACCTTCTCCTAGATGGGTCACTCCAGTCCCTTCCACAGATTCACATGACCATACATGGTCATCCTGCGGTTAGGCCTATTGTGGGATTTGTCGCCCGGTCGTTGTTGCACGTGCCGGATGTTATCGGATAACATCTTGTCATTTAGTATAACAGCACAAATCCTAATTCACAGTATTTTAGAATTATTTATATACGTAGTCACATATCTATTGCCGCGCGCCGTTCATGGTCATAAGTTCGATATTATTATCTTCGCGCTGTATATATGATGTCGTCGCTCCACTACACACGTACTGCATACATGGTGCCAGCGATATTATTATTATTATTATTAACGTTTACGCGAGCAACGCTCGCGTCTATTATATGATTACGTACATATTAGAATGAGATTTATATTGTTATTTAAGAAATAGTCACAGCTCGCTACACACGTTTCCACACACTAGAGAAAGCACTTCTCGCGCTTACGACACAAGTCGCGGCACTAGCAGCGACTCAGGCCGCCAGTTTTCAACACATGGTTAGGGAACGTACATCACGCGGGCAACGGACCCGCTCACGGTCACAAACACGGCCAGGCGTCTCCACGGCAGAGTGGTGTTTCTACCATGAGAGTTTCGGCGCAGACGCAGAGCTGCCGCGAGCCGTGCAACTACGAGTCGACTCAGAAAAAATGATTTGGCGGCGGTGTTGCACCAACACCCCGCCGCACACGCACACGACACGCTCCGACTTTTCGTCAATGACCTTCGCACCGGACGTCGATTTCTCATCGACTCCGGCGCGGGAATGTCGGTGATCCCGTGACAACACAAAATATTTTAAAATTATTTTAGAAATATTTTATTATCTATGGCAAGTGGAATAAAAATAAATATATATAACTTTGAAGAATATTGTTTAAAAACGGCAAAGATGTTTGTTACGTTATATCCGTGGTACTATATGCCTTCGAGTGTGCATAAAGTGTTAATACACGGTGCGGATGTGATACGATTTGCACCACTTCCAATTGGTAATATTATAATACTATTTATGAAAAAGTATATTATATATAAAATTAAAATTATAATACATTTTAGGTAAACTATCGGAAGAAGCACAGGAAAGTCGAAACAAGGACTATAAGCAATACAGAGAACATAATACACGAAAAAACTCTAGACTCAATACCAACGAGGATTTGATACATATATTGCTAATTTCTTCAGACCCATACATTTCATCCATTCGTAATGTGTCAAAAAAATATGAACAGGAGTTATCAGATGATGTAAAAAAATTATTGATAATACCAGAATCAGAAGAAGACGAAGAAAGTGACATAAATCAATCCTTTTCAGAAATCAGTTTGACTGATTAATCAAATAATATAGTACCTATATGCAATGATTATAGAATATATAAAATACGTAGAATAATATATTTTATAAAATTATAAATTTTAAATGGTTAATTTGGTTCTTTAATTCCTTATTTTTGTTTTACTTTAAATGTGTATATTTATTGAAAGAAAAGATTTCATTTAACTTTAAGAGTCGATACCTAAAGCATCAAAATCGAGGTTTTTACAATAATATCTACGATATATTTATTTAAAGAAAACCATTTTTGTAAATTACTATTGAAACTGAATGCAACAAATGTTTATATTTTTAAATGACTATCATTTTCCTTTACAATATTTATGTATTGAATAGTTGGTAAAATGGCGTAAATTTCAGTATCATTTCTCCAAAGTACTAAAATCATTAAAAAACTTATTATTAAAAAGCATATAAAAAAATAAAAAAAAAATGAATTAATATAAATAAATAATATTTCATTATTATATTTAAGACAATTATATAACAATTGTATAAATAAAAAATAAAATTTTATGGTTTCAAGTGAGAAAACTAAATAATATAAAAAGCGTGGTTTTTACAGTAAAACGTCATATTTATAAAGAAAACAATTTTTGTAAATTACTGTTGAAACTGAAAGCAAAAAATGTTTATATTTTCAAAGAGCTATCAATTTCCTTTACAATATGTATGTATTGAATAGTTAGTAAAACTGCGTAAATTTAAGTATTACTCCTCAAAAGTTCAAAAACCACTAAAACACTTAAAATTTCAACATAATATAGCAATTAGGAAAAAAAAAAAAAATAAAAATATAAAAATAATATGTCGTTGTTACATGTACGTATATAATTTAATAACTGTGGAAAAAAAATCTATTTTTATCGTTGAAGTGTGAAAATTAAATAAAAAGAAAATGAATAAAAGTTTGAAAATATCAATCAAATAATGTATATATTTTATACTAACAGCATGTAAGTCAGGTGTATGTTAATTAATTTTTTTGAAATTCTGATTTAATCGTCCGAATAATGTAACGATTAATTATTGATAAAAAAAACCAATAATTTTTTAGTTTAAAAAAAGGTACTTTTGGCACGCTAAATTCGTGTTTCATCCCACTGTGCGACGCGACAATCGACACGAGCAGCGAAATAAATTATGCTCATCGCCGCCAATGGAAATAAAAACCTACGGATCGAAGCAGCTACAACTCGACATAGGTTTCAAACGGTTTTTCACTTGGACTTTCGTAATGGCTGAAGTTTCTCGACCAATTATCGGAGCCGATTTCCTGCACTATTACGGTTTACTCATCGAAATATGCCGCAAGGTTATTGGTTGGATTGGAAAAATGTATATAAAGTGCTTCCAATGTATCAAAAACACATCTAGTATCCTTAACATTAATAGACTATATTTAACCTGCTTTAATAATACTAAGTTGTAAAATACTGAATAAAAATTAATTACCTTCACAATTTTGCACATATCTAATACCACGAGATTAATTCGATGTGCCATGCAGTGCGTGTATATTGCAAATGGGTATTTTGATTTAATTTTTGCCTGTACACCATTAAAACGCCCAGACATTACACTGGCCCCGTCATAGAACTGTGCTACAATTGCTACCTGGGGACTTAACTTGCATTGTTTAAGATATTCTAACATGAGTTGACTTAAACTTTCTGAGTCTTGTTTCATAGAACAATCGATAAAACCCAAAAATCTTTCTTTTATATCCAATCCCTTGCAATATCTTATACATAATGCCATCTGCTCTTCTTTAAAACACCTGCAAAGTTATAATTCAAATAATCAAATTGAATGTACACAATTTCTTAGCAATGAAATTAATGTATTGAATATATTACCTAGCTTCATCGCACATGATACCAAATATGCCTACATCATTGACTTCTTTTATAATAGTTTCTCTTAATATATTAGCACATATACTTATTAATTCATTTTGAATTCCATGGCTTGTATGGTTGGTTTTTTCTTTATACTTCTGAGCAAATTCAGGGTAAAATTTTGCTAACAAATTGCAGGTTTCTTTAAAATTTCCTAAAGAGTATTCATTTATTTTGTAATCTGAATGTAATTAGTCAGTAAAATAGAAAATACCTTGATTAAGTGAATCGATGGATTCATCGTGACCTCTGAATGCCAAACCTTGTCGACACAAAAATAATGTTACTTCACTAAGGGTTCTTATATACATACGATTGCTTTCGATTAACAGCTTATGTTGAGATGAAATTTGAGTCAATACAGTACCAGTTTTTTCAGTTTCTTTATGAGCCATCCACTTTTCCATACAAGTAATATGATGTATTGTTGCTTCATGTAATTCAAGCTTACTTTTACTGCCCTTATTGGCACCTCTTGAACCACTTAACTTTAATAAACAGTATTCTTTATTTATTATTATTAATATTTTAATATATTACTATTATTTTTATTATTATTTAGTGTTTATTAAACACACAGAACAAACCTTTTTCCAATGTTTAAAACCAGCTTTTGTAAAAATATCTTCGTTATTTTTGTTACTAGATGTAGCGAAATTACGACAAGCAAAACAAAATAAAGCATCATTTGCAATACTGTATTCAAGCCATACAAAGCTGTTGTAATAAGCTGCATTAAAGCTACGGTTTTGATGTTTATATTTTGTCTTCGGATATGACTAAAATAAGCAAAATATAATATAATAATAACTAATAAGATAATAATATTGAAGTCACAGAACTAAGTAAGCAATAAATAAGCAAATAATACCTATAAAATATCAGATATAATACTTATAAATATCTACCTTTAAGACTGGACGTGATGGACCAGTTAATAAATCACCCAAATCCGCTCCATCGTTATTTAATTTAGCCACATTAACATTTATATTTATGTCAATAACCGGAGGTTGATAATCAGAATGTGAATTTTGCGTCGATGATGCCATTTGTTGATCATTTTCAACTATGTTCTTAGATTTAGAATTTTCGTTTTTGTTTTTTTTATTAAAAATCCCAAAATATTTTAAATTATTATCAGACATTTCAAAAACACTTTTGAAAGAAGAATAAAACAAGACACAGAACACCGTTAAGTTATATTATTTGTATTGACACTAGTGCAGTAGTGCACTCTTAAAATAACATGTATTGATGTATTATACTATTATTTACGAAATAACGGTAGGTAAGCCTAGCACTAAGCATAAATAAAACTGATAAAACGACAACGTAAAAACGTGATATTTATCATTACAATTTCCAGTGTTACCACAAATACAAATGTTACACATGTCTTTATAGGCAAACTTATATCTATAAGCCCATATCTAGTCAGTCAGTTCGTTTGTTACAACATTGTCTAATTTAAAAATAACTGTTGTAAAAAAATTCAAATTCAAAAATTTTATATTACCGGCTAATTTAAGGTTATACTACTATTATTTTATTAAAATACCTAGATATTTCGTGGGAAAGTATGGAATAATTTTTGGTGGGGCTGTGGATAACTTTGGGGGGGGGGGGGCTAAGCCCCCCTAGCCCCCCCCCCCCAATCTCCGCCTATGTTGCATAACAGTGGATATACATAAGAGAATTATTTTGTTCTTTGCATTTTGCTTGTACTCAATTGTTAATTGTTACCCTGACATAGTGGCCGCACCATCAAAGCATACTGCAATAACAGAAGACCAACTTAAGCCTAATTTATTAATTAACACATCAAATATAGATTGTGCATTGACTGAATTGAGCCTTTGCAAACAAACAAAGTGTTCCACCGGTTGATTTAAATTTGAATCAAAATATCGAATAACTATAGACATTTGTTCGTGATGCCCTATATCGCTAATTTCATCGGCTATAACTGAAATCTTTTTGTTTTGCAAAGTAACTGACAATTTTTTCTGAAAATAGTTGTATAGAGCCAAAATTATATCATTTTGAATACGGTTGCTAGAATAAAATGCGTTACGAGGCCCACATTCCATATGTTTTTTAAAAATTGGGTCGTATTTCAATAATAATTCAATTACCTCTTTGTACATCCTTTTGTTAAAACTATTAACATTTTCAATATGGCCTCGAAACGGTTTTCCAGTTTTTGCTAACAGTATTGTTATATCAACAAGTCTTTGAAAAAAATCTCTATTCTTAAGACGTTCACTATCTCTTTGGCTAAGTTGTAATTTTTTACTTTCATCAATAGCAACATCTATTGAATTTCCATCTATTAATTTTAACATTGATTCTGAACTATAATTATGTGCTTTTCTCTTTTGATGGTTGTTAAATGCCTTTGTTGCGTTTTTCCAGTTTTTAAAACCTTTAGTAGAAAATGCAAGATCAATCTGGCTACTGTTAAGGCTATTTCCTCTACATATTCTGCGTGGAAAACAAAATGCAGCATCTTTAGCTGGAGAATTTTCAATCCATTTATAAACATCATAATACTGTTTAAGGAACCCACGATATTGTAAACCCATTAATGTTCTAGGAAAGATAATTTGAGGTTGATATGGACCATTAATAATTCTATTCCTTAGTTCAAGCCGATTTTTAGGTAGTTCAATTTAAGGGTCTTTTGGATCAATAAGTGGTGTGTCTGGTGGTGTATTACATACAGTTTTACATTCAATATTGACATCTACGGCATCTACCCCTAGGTATACATAATACATTTATATCAGAAATAGTTCTAAATAAATAAATAAATAATGCATTTAAAAAGAATAGATGTTTTTAATAGTTAAATGTTAAAATTTAAATAAAGCATGAAGCATTAAGCAAGTAAAGCAAGTAACTATGGTCTATGGTCTAGACATTTAAATTTATTTTATGCATGATTAAATGAATTTCAAAATTACCATATCCAATTGTTGATTATTGAATTACCTTCATCAACATTAAAAACACCTCATTGGTTTTGAATGTCATAACATATTAAACTTTTACCTGATAAAACTGTTGCATCATTAGACATACAAATATTACTAATAACATCAAGAACTCTAGAAGTATGTCCATCGCTGTTTTTAGGCTCAACATTGAGCTCATTGTCTATAAAAAAAAAACAAGCACTGTAAATTGACACTATAATTGTTTTTTGGTTATGTATTTATTAGTTTAATATTATTTTAAATCATATAAAATGCAAGTTATAACGCTTAGTATGCACTTACCATAACACGTTGACTTATTATTTTGAAACACTGGTTTAGAGGAAAAAAATGATTCGATTGATGAATTGTTCTTTTAAATTTTTCTAACAGAGCATGATTTTATGTGCCGTTGCCAGTTGACATCATTTAGATTAGATCTGGCTTTGCCACAAAGGCACAATTCTTCACTTGAAGATGACGATATTTTAATTAAATCATAAATAATAAAAAATAACTGTGAATCCTATACTCTGTAGCAAATAAGAGCGCACCGCGCTGGCGCATCCAAATGAATCGCGGAGCGACGGCTGGACCCCCTGGTCGGGTCTATTCGCTCTGTGATTGGTCGCCGATCTTCGGTCGGATTCGCCGCCGTGAATACAGGGAACTGAAGTAATTATGCGTTTCACGCGTATTATTCAGTAAAATAATACACATACTTTTCGTTTTTTTCTGCATACAGTGACACGTGTAAATAAAACAAAAGACAAATTCAAAATATTCACCAATGCGCTCAAAAAATATAACAACGTCTAACCGCGTATACCGTTAAAATTGGTGTGATAATATACAACACTCTGTATTCAGAGTTGACCTGGCTGGCGCCGGAATACGCTGCGGCAGCGCTCTCTGACATGCGCGAGTTTCGACCGGTTTTCGTGCGCCGCCCGGTGCGCTCTTATTTGGTACAGAGTATAGGATCATTGGTATTTTATATTTTTATATTCATTACCACAAAAGATATACAATTTTAAACAAATAAGTTAGCGTTAGCATATTAAATAACTGATAAGATAGGTACATTTATGATAATGGTGTAGTTAAACAGAATATTATCCGTTGACCTTTAGGTTACCGTCCATTGCGTAGATAACAGAATTCTTCTGTTATTTATGGCAATAATAAATTTATTATCGGTATTATCAATTGCCAGTCACGACAATTTTTATTGTAAAATTGATAAAAAAATCTAATTTTCCAAAAAATGAGTTATTGGCTCTTTTTAATTTTTATCTAAGAGTACTAAGTACCTACCTAAAAAAGAAGTTTCAGGTGTGGCTATAGCCCTATAAGCCACACCCGTGCGCACGCCTATGCCATTAATTAAAATTCCAGAAAATGTAATCGTAGATGATGACCCAGAAAAATTTTGGATATATATTCAACTATTAGAAAGTGGACAATTTTACGAGCTTTCAACATTCTGTTTGACAGTAATGTCTCTCCCACATTCGAACGCACAGTGTGAGAGGATTTTTAGCAAAATTAACAGGATGAAAACAAATGTGAGAAACAAATTAATTACCCCAACCGTTTCTGCAACTTTGATGACAAGTTAGTGCATAAAACAACAAGGAACTTGCGTTAACTTTATGCCATCAAAAGAAATGCTGAGTCAAATGTGCTCAAAAAATTTATATAGTTTAGAGAAGACTGATATTATGCCTAATGAAACAAATAAGACTGATGTTATAGATGTCGGATTCATACTGAGTGATTAAATTTATGTTATTAATTTATTAATCTTTTTATTAACATTTAATTCAATATTGTTAGGTAATATGTTGTATTTTTAAATTTTTACTTACAAAAAGGCTGTTGTTTGTATATGTATATATTGTTTTAATTTTATTTAGAGTTTGAAATATTTTTCTACTACAGAAATCTGCATTATTTATTTTATCTTATTTCATTTAACCAATTTTGATATGTACTGTTATTTTATTATTATGTTGTATGCAATTTCAAATGGTTTTCTAACCATAGAAATCTGCATTTTTTATTTTATCCTGTTTCATATAAACAATTTTGATATGCACTGTTATTTTAATATTATGTTGTATGCGAATTTCATCCCCTGTTGGTCGGGGGCGCCCTAGTGGCACAGGATAGGCCAACAGTAACTCCTGCTCATCGTAAAAGGCGATCAAAGGAGGTAGCGGAGGGCAGCAGTAACCGCTACTACCGACCATTGGCGATTTCCTCAACGGATCTAACGGCAATGGAAGGATTTGGTGAAGGCAGCTTGAGGATAGCTTAAGTACTGGCTCACCAACTGCGATGCAGAAAGCAAGAGGAAACTACTGCATTATACATCCTGAGGATAATGACATGATGGATACAGTAGAATTAAAAAATTCCGGAGGTAAAATAGTCCCCCATTCGGATCTCCGGGCGGGGACTAATGCTACTAAGTATTCATTAAAGGAGAAGAACAAAGTAAGGAAAAGAAGAATTGGAACGTGGAATGTAAGATCTTTAGGGATCTGTGGTAAATTGGAAAACCTCAAAATTGAAATGGAAAGACTTAAAATAGATATAATAGGGATAAGTGAACTAAAATGGACAGGTAAAGGAGATTTCTGGTCGGAAGATTACAGAATTATATTTAGCGGGGATGACCACAGAGTAACAGGAGTGGGTTTCATATTGAACAAAGAAATAGGGAAAAAAGTAGTGGACGTTGTTCAATATAATGAACGAATAATTGCTATTAAAATAGAAACTAAACCTGTTGATACATTTATTTTACAAGTATACATGCAAACCTCAACTCATAAAGACGAAGAAATAGAGGAAATTTATGAACAAATAAATGAGGTGATAGAAATGACAAACGAAAAGACAAATTTGATTGTTTTAGGTGACTGGAATGCTATAGTAGGGGAGTCAAAAGAACATGGAGTTGCAGGTGCGTTTGGTCTAGGCAAAAGAAACGAAAGGGGACATAGGCTAATTGAGTTCTGCAAAGAAAGAAACCTAGTCATTACGAATACAATGTTCTCACAACCGATAAGGAGAAGATATACATGGACCATGCCGGGAGGAAGAGCAAGATATCAAATAGATTACATATTAGTAAGAAATAGATATAAAAACCAAGTAAAAAAATGCAAAACTTACCCAGGCGCGGACATTAACAGTGATCACAATCTAGTGTTAATGGAAACAAACTTAAGCCTGAAAAGAAAGAAACCCAACGAAAGTACAAAAAGAAAATGGTGCATGGATAAACTAAAGAATGAAGAAATAAGAAGTGATTTCAATGAAGAATTAAATAATCTATTACAAGAAGCAAATAGCAATAAGAACCAGGATAATGACAAAGTCGAATGGGAAAAATTATTAAGGGATACGATGACAAAAGCAGCGGAAAAACATCTCAAATTCACTAAAGAAATGCCTACGAAACCATGGATAAACAACGAAATTATAGATCTCATTGAAAAACGAAGAAAATACAAAAACGCGGTTAGTGAAGAGGGAATAGCAGAATATAAAAAGTATAGAAACTTGGTCAATAGAGAAGCGAAGAAAGCCAAAGAGGAATGGTTAAACAATATATGCAAAGATATTGATTCCTGCCTAACAAAAGGCTTGAGTGATAAAGCGTACAAGAACATTAAACGATTTTTTAGAGAATTCAAAGATAAAACCACTATACTTAGAGGAACAGATGGTAAAATAATCACTGAAGGGAAAAAAAAGTTAGAAGTATGGAAACAATATATTGAAAAGTTATATGGAAATGATAATATAAATGCGGGACAATGGGCCATAGAAGAAGAAGACGCAGAGCAAGAAAATATAGGACAACCCATTTTGAAAGGGGAATTTGAGACAGCACTAAATGAGTTGAAACACAACAAAGCTACAGGCATAGACAACATAAGTGGAGAAATGTTAAAAGCATTGGAAGGCCAAGGAAAGGAGATATTATTTAAAATAATATATGATGCATATGAAAAAGGGCTAGTCCCCAAAGATTTCGAGAAGTGCCTAATGATAGCATTACCGAAAAAAAAGAAGTCAGAAAAATGTGAAGATCATAGAACCATAAGTCTAATAACACATGCATCGAAAATATTAACAAAGATAATACACAAAAGAATAGAAGCAAAAATAAGTGTCAATCTAGAGGAAGACCAATTTGGTTTTAGGAGGAATAGGGGAACCAGGGAGGCTATACTATGCTTAAGGATGATCATGGAAAATATGTATAGAGTAAACAAGCCTATGTATACAGCGTTCATTGACTTAGAAAAAGCTTTCGACAACGTCAATTGGGAAATATTATTCAATATAATGAAAACCATAAATATCGATATTAAAGACAGAATAATTATTCATAAGTTATATTTAAATGAAAAGGCTGTTATAACAGATAAAAAAGCAGATCATGGGAAGAAGCAAATATTGAAAAAGGAGTTAGACAAGGGTGTAACTTATCACCAACACTATTTAATCTGTACATTGAAAATACTCTAAAGCAATTAAGGGAAGACGAAATTTTAGGAATTAAAATTAATGGTATGCTAGTACAAATGTTGCGCTTTGCAGACGACATAGCATTGATTGCGGAAAGTGAAGAAGCTTTAGGTAAAATGTTAACAAAAATGAATGATAGCTGTAAAGAATACAAAATGAAAATAAATAAGAGCAAGACAAAAATATTAATATGCAGCAAGCAGGAATTGCTTTCGAACATAGAGATTGAAAATGAGAAGCTGGAAACTGTTCAATGTTTTACATATCTAGGAAGCAAAATAACACATGATGGAAGAAGCGAAATAGACATAAAGAGTAGAATAGCACAAGCAAAACAGACATTTTACAAAAAGAAGCACTTATTAACGCAATCACGGTTAGCTTAAACACCAGGAAAAATCTTATAAAGAGTTTCGTATGGAGTATAGCCCTCTATGGGGCAGAAACATGGACGATACTAAAAGCGGAAAGAAAAAAGATTGAAGCATTTGAAACATGGTGTTGGAGAAGAGCACTGAAAATTGCTTGGACAGAGAAGGTTAGAAATGAAGAAGTATACCTAAGAATGAACGAACAAAAAGCAATATGGAAGACAATCAAAGAAAGGAGGAAAAAATGGATCGGACATATTATGAGAAATAATGAATGGATAACGACAATAATAGAAGGAAAAATAGAAGGAAAAGCTGGAAGAGGTAGACCAAGAACACTATTTATGAAACAGATCATAGACGATATAGGGAAAACCAGCTATAAGGAACTAAAAGTAGCTGTAATGGATAGGGATAAGTGGAGAGCCATCAAAGTCAAATCAATCTAATTATTGAAAAAAAAAAAAAAAAAATGCGAATTTCAAATGGTTTTCTAACCATAGAAATCTGCATTTTTTATTTTATCCTGTTTCATATAAACAATTTTGATATGTACTATTATTTTATTATAATATAATATATTATTTTTTCGGCTGCATGTTACTTGCGTCCCAAAAAAAGATATATTTTTCAGGTAGTAAATTTGACCGGTAAATTGCGTCCCGTTTTGGGGACGCAAGTCAGCCATATAATTATTATCGATATTATCTTCTAAAATCATTAAAATCGATAGTTCATAAACTGTACCGTATACATGTGTGTGAGTGCGTGCGTTACTTACTTACAATGTAGATACAATTTATCTTTGTCGCGGAAGCATTGCGGAAGCAGTTCCCGCGACGCCGTCGTCGGTTCAAAACTGGAAAAAAAAAAAAAGATACAATTTATCTATGATAGGTACAATATGATAGTATATTATATTAATAACTTAAGTGGGTATTATTTTATGTGAAAAGATATGAAACATGTATACATCTTGTTGGTTGTTAGATTCGATAAGATAAAGCAATTACGTCGATAATTTTTTTTTTACTCGCATTATATTTTCACATTTTACTTTTATTCAGTACGATTCGTCTTATTAGACTAATAATTGTGAAATAACCACTCATCAAATTAAAAAAATTAAATAAGTTAATTTAATAAAATCCGATTTTTTATTTTATTATTATTATTATTATTACTACTATAACAAAATATAAAACATATGAATTTGTAATTTTATAAGTTTGAATTTTTAAAAAAAACCTGAAAATTGAATATACTCCTGAAGTTGAAAAATATTCGTTCAACTTTTATAGCCAAGGATTGAAATATACTTATTAATATCATAGGCTGACTGACCGTTTTCGCTCAGAATAGTTTTTTTCATAGTTTTTTTTTTACATTTTTATATCGATTATATCGATATTTTTGGGACGAAATTAGGTCATAAAAAAGGTGTACTGGGACGCAAATCGGCTATGACCTTTTTGAACCTTTTTTTTTTTGTGGGACGCAACTCACCTACTGATAATAATTTCGGACGCAAGTAGTATGCTCCCATTTTTTCTTGATATTTTGAATTTTGATTTTTGATAACAAATGGTACGATAATTTAATGATGATCCGTGTACGATAATGTACGATAATTTCATCAATTGTGTACGGTTTTTTGTTATTTAAAATCTGGCAACACTGCACCGAGTACCACGATCTGCACTGTCGCACGGCCCTCGAAATTACGGTTATCTACACAGGTTGGATAACGGCTGTTATAGTGCTAGTTGCATCTGGCCCTACTTATAAAACTAATTGTTTTTCTTATTATGATCAATGATTTTTACAATCGAGAGTATTTGAGACATTTAAATTAACAATATATGGTATCAACTATCAACTAAGATTGATTTTACATAAATTACAAATTAAGATATAACATGAAACAATGTTTAGTTTTAAATTTAATTCTTATACAATAGAAGAACTATATTGTACTACATATTATGTTTGTGTATACCTATAGGTTATGTAATTTAATTCATATTAACATTGTTTAATAAATTGCATGTCCGTATTTTAATTTTTAAGGAATATTTACGAGGGTGGCTTTTTTTACTTCCATAAATTTAATTAGGAACTTATAAAAATATTTCTACCAAAGAATAGAATTTATTTATTTCCAAAACAATCTAATATTAAGGTAAAGAAAAAACACTAAACCAATAAAAAAAAACTTAATTTTATATTATTATTTTAGGTAAACACTAGATATAATATTTAAATACCTAATTTTTGTTCTATTAAAAAAAAATAAGAAAACTTATATTACAATATTATTTTTGACACAATTGTTTAAATACAATATTACACATATTACGTAATATATAAATTATAATGTAATATAAATAATATCACAGTTTTCAATAAAACTATTGTCAATCATTCATCAATTTTTATTTAAATGTAAAAAATATCAAAAAATTTGTTCATTTGTTTCAGATAAGATATGATTCACGTAGCCTGTAAATTAATACACAATATTTTAAAATTTGAATAAAAGCAACATATAGCATATTTTTTAATTTTTTAATGCAGCAATAACAGAGCAATTTATAAATAATAAGGATAAAAAATGTGTGTTTTTATTATTGATTTTAAAATTTGAATACAAATAGCAAACATTTAAACTGATTGAACATATTATTATATTAAAACAAAAATAACAATGACAAGTGAACTTTGAATTTAAGAATTATACAGTTTTGACTACTTTTTCTTTTCTCTTGAAACTTTTAGCATTTTCAAATTTTCCTGGTATGAAAACTGCCTCAATCTCATCTGAATATAATTAACTATAATTTCAGTAGTAACATCAATGATATGTTCAGCACATGTAAATTTGAAATTAAAGTTTTCCACAGTAATATCATCAACAACTTTATCAAATACATCATATTCGTGACAAAATAATGAAAACGAATGTTCTACAGTACTTAAAAATTCATATAAATAAGTATTAGGATAAATAAGTTTTCCATTGGTTATCAGGGAAACAAGCTCAGCAGCAGGATGATTAGCATTGCAAGTCTTAAAAAAGCTAATACATTTTGAGCATTTTTTCCATTTTAAAATTGTTTTTGTAACATACCCACAAACATAATATACAATGGAGTCTCTTATACTGCATTCTTCATTGTTACTACACTTTGGAAGAATGTCACACGGTTCCCAAAGGGCAAAGACCTTCTTCAATCAATTCATAAAGTTTTATTTTCAACTTATTAATTTTTTTCTGTTCTACAGCTGTCCTTATTATGAAATATTTCATGTAAATCTGCCAAAGAAATTTGTGGAGTATCAGTAGAAGTAACAGAGCAATTACCATACTTTGGAGGTTTTAAAACCGAATAAACCGAAAGTATTTTATACAAATGTAAAAACGTTGGTGTGGTAGAGTGATCATTGGGTCCACAACTTTGTCTTATTATACCAAAAAATGTCTGAAAGAAAATAAACACATGAGTCATAACATAAAGCAAATTAATATCAATTTGTTCTAATTAAATGTCTATATGTACATTTTAACGGTGCAACTCGTTTGCGCACAATCCAAATTGTTTACCTAGATATCGATGACTCGTTTGCGCACAACTAATACCGTCGTTAACCTAAAAACGGACGACTCGTTTGCGCACAATATAAACACTGCATAACATAAATTTTATATTTTTAAATTTGGACTTACCTAAAGTAATTGATTATCGGTACAAATTATCAGTACAAATGACCGGCATATCAATATTAAATATATCATTAGCCATTATCATCATTGAAAATAATCGACGTGTATTAAACATAATATTTTTGAGCAGTCGTTCGCCAGAAAGCGGTACTACCTATACTGACTAGTGACTATGGATATCGAAATTTGTGATATTTTTGAAATGCGTCGAGGTAAAAAGTGTATAAATATAGATAGTTATAAATTTAGAGAATTTCGAACTTTAAAATCTAGTGTTACACATTTTAGGTGTGCAAATAAAAAATGTTCCTTGAGTGATGTAGTAAGGTTAGTTAATAATTAAAAAATTAAAAAATGACAAACACGCATAGAACTTCTATTACTTCTTATTAATTGTACAATTATATATTTATTCAGAACAGACACACACGACATGCACTTTTTTAATCACGCCTGTACAAAACAGATGGTCCTAAGCCTATATTAAAGTAAGAAGGGAAATGTGCTGTTCTGCTCAAAGTTAAATGTGCGCAAATGAGTTGTACCTTTATAATTTAAACCCAAAATATGTGTGCGCAAACGTGCCGTAAAAAAGGTAAATGTGCGCAAACGAGTCGCTCCCACATTTTAAGTTATTTATAAACTTTAAGTAGTATGACAATATAATATAAAAAACAAAAATATTAAATACCTACACTAGAATTACAATAAATGTTTGGAATTTAAATTTAAAATTGAGTACCAGTTTTAGAAATAGATATATTCAAATAAATTTTAAAAGTTTTTAAATTACTATAATAATTTATAATAAGGAATCTATTTATCACTTGAAGAACTTACTTCAAGAGGGTCCTGGCACATTTTCCCAGTTAATACATATGTAAAACTACACGACTCTAACAAAT